ATTGAATGAACGATACATCGAAAAGTATAAGAAACTTAACAGAAGTAATACAAAGATGAACAAAACAGAACTGAAGAAAAAAATGCAAAACAATAAATTTCAACATGTAACTTCAATTATTTTCATAGAATGACAATGTGCCAATATCAAAATTATTTAGAAACAGAGTACTTGATATAAAGAGCCTCCGACACATTAGAAGACTCGGAGTCTTCTATTTTGTCTTGTCGTTCATAAGTTACAAGGGGGGGGGGGAGGGGCGTTGGGAATAGGTGTTTGAAAAAGAGAGTTTTTTTTGGGGGTGGGAGAGANCTGAATGATTCATCTTATTGGCATAATAGATAATGGATCTGGAGAGGAAAATTAACCACTAGTTACTTCTCGCATCGAATGCTCAGACAAATGGAAAACGGATCGTTTCGACTCGAGGGCTATTTTGGGTGTTGGCGGGAGATTTCGTCTCTCTCGTCAACAATACCTTTCTTTTTTCTTGAAAAGGCATAGGTTTGCCCTAAAATACGTGTAATTAATTATCAGATCGCTTAAGGAACTATATCTCGTCACTTTAAAATAAATCCTAAGATGATATTGGCAAAATGTTGCCAAAAAGCAACATTCGGCCGTAAAGGGTTAAATAAAAGAGAAAAATATTCAAATAAAATGAATAGTAACTATTTGGAGGTATATGTATTGATCAAGACTCGGCACTTTAACATAATGAAAACTTAATCGTTGTTTGATATTTATCGAAAGTTCAAAGCTACTTTAAAATAAATGGAAATGATTAACTTATTGTATTATTTTTGTTAATTCAATAAAACTATTTAAAATTTTAATATCTAATATTCTGAATTTTGTGAATTGAGACCGATGAATGCTTACAAAAACATTGATTATGGTTCTTTTCATACAATTGGCAAGTTTTAGTAAAAGATTTTACCATCAATACTTTCGGGAGATATTATATTTTTTGTAAGACTTCACTTCCTAAAAGAAAAGTGCATTTCGACCAGATGTGTAGCAAACTACATGACTTTTTTTATTTGGCATGTCATTTTCTATTAAAAACAAATTTTCAATGGTGTTTATCATCTTTTACTTGAAAAATATTCTTCTTCTTTTTAAAAAACAACGACAAATATTTTTCGTTTTACCTCTATTTATGCTTTTCTGATCCTGCATTTCAAATTTCTCGAAATAGGTTCATTGTAGCCAATAATTGCTTTATCTTGCTTGAAAGACTATATAAAGCTGTAATGTCTGTTAGGGACCGTTTTTGAATTAAGTTCTTTTATTATTATATAAAAATCTATTTCTTTTTTTGGTAGTATTTCGGGGTATTCAGCTTGAGTTCCTTTTTCTCCGCATGCAAAGTAACAATTAAGAAAAACTAGTGTTCTTTCAAGTCATACATTTTGACATACTTCTTTAAACAAAAAAAAGATATTAAATATATAGAATGAAGGCTCATCAGGAATTTAAGATTGTCAAATAGTATTCTTAAAGCAGATGTTTGACCATATGATATCACAATATCACATAGTGAAATACTTTTCATGAGAAGGAATGTCAGCTATAATCTTACTGATAGAACACCTGCTATAAGAATACCGTCAAATCAGCTATTTTTGACTCTTATCTGGTGAATGTCATGCTATAGAGTTAAAAACTTCAGACGATTTGAATTTATGTGTTCAGAAATCGATTTTTGAGAATGACAGGAAGGAAGTCTTAGGTTTTTTCACTATGTAATAAAACAACGATTTTTAAGCAAAACCAATGAACAATAACAAAAAAGGGTCAATGGAATGAGTATCCAATGTTATTTACATTATTCATTCATTCTTCTATAAGCTATCGCAAGAAAAAAGAAAATAAAAATAAATAAATTCTAAAATTGAAGGACAAATCATATGAAGAGATTGTTATTTGCATAAAACATACACTTTCCTTGTATTAACTAATACAATAAATGTACAAAGACAAAAAAAGAAAAAAATATATATACTGTTAAATTGAGACACGAACAACATTGAAAGGAGAAACTAAATATTTTTATTTTCATTTAATAGAAGAAAAATAAAATATATCAATACACATCTGACTAGATGTTTTCTTCCTTTCATTTCAGTTACATAGCACTACCACCACTACGTCGATTATTATTTTCATTGATTGTATCGGCATCATTTCCACATGCTTGTCGTATCCATGATGAAACTTCTTGATTATCACTTTCAGTTTCATATCGTTTATAAAATGAATGATGCTAAGAATAAAAAAAAGAAAACAATAAAATTCTTTAACAATAAAATTTTAAGTTTCATACTAAAAGTGTATTTAAATCTGCTCGTTCAGTTGTACTTTTTTTTAAACTAAAATAAATCATATTAAAGTATAATTAAATAAATAAATAAACTTACCAACGATCAACAAAATCACAAAATTCTGATGAAAAATGTGATCGTGGTAGACTCGGTGGTGCTTCATTAACAATCCATTCCATTAATTCAAATATAGCTAAACCTTTATAACATCCAAATCCTAAATATTTTCTTTTTAGATTAGACAAAAACAAACTACTAATGAACAATTTTCAAATAACCTTCTGGTCGAGGTCGATTTCCAAGTGGATCTTCTTTAAACAAATTATCAATATCATGTACTGATGGTGGTGGAATTGGATAGCGACCAACAGCCATTTCGACAAGTGAAAGGCCTAATGACCATATATCACTCATTATGCCATAGTGTGCACCTTCAAGTCTTTCAGGCTTTGAAAGAAAAAGAATATTAAAACTAATATTTAACCAAAAACAAGAATACACTTTCTTACCGACATATACGAACGAGTGCCAATGAATGTATGTAATGTTGAATCAATTAATTGTGCACTAACACCAAAATCACATAATTTTATTTCACCTATTTTTAATATTAATAATTAGATAAAAATAAAATACTAAAAAAAGAATTAATATTACCTTGAAGATTCACAAGAATATTCGATGGTTTAATGTCTTAAAATTTAAAGTTTAACAAAAGTTTAAATAAATAACAGAAATTTTACCTCGATGCATTATACGATGTCTTTCACGTAAATAACTTAAGCCACGAAGAACCTAAGAGGAAAAAAAATGTTACTTTGATTTCTTGGATGATACAATTTAACATACAGCTACAGTAATTTTGCCGAGAATATGTTCTGGAATACGCATAACCTTTTTTAGAATTAGATCTAACGAGCCACCATCCTAAAATAGATATGCACGAAATATTAAATTATTGTAGATAGAGATTCTAGTGTGACCTGTTATTCTATTTATCAGTTAAGTTTACAAATTGATTATCTTCAACTCTTTTTTTCCAATGTTAAAAATTCAAGAAAAATATGATGACGACGAAAGTTGTCAATTCTTTCATCCAATACAATTATAGTAAGTTTATCGTTTTACTTGCTTACGCCAACAAATTTCTATTCTAGTCTTTTAAAATGGAAACAGACTCTTTGTTTTTTTCACTGATATTAATAGCTCATGAAGAAATATAGGAGAAAACGCTTTTATGACTCCAGAGGGGCTTATTTATAAAATTTAAAGGAGCAATTTTAGACGTTGTTAATTAGCATAAGAGAATTGAAAAAATCTATTATTATTAGCACAAATATCAAAAAATAATTGTCATTTTTATTTGTAATCCAAAACTAGAACTTCATTGAATTTAAGATAATGTGTGTTACAATCCCCAAGAGAGTTGTTAATCATAATCTTAATAAAAAACAAGACTTAATATTACACATTTCTAATCTATACTTTTTTTTTCTCATCAGATCTGCATTTACGATCTTCTTCTTATCGATATTCTTTTTATTTCATCAGTCTACCGTACTACATAATCACTTAATCATAGAAATACTATTACAGAAAAAATTGCTGAAGTGAATAAAATATAAATAATCACTTAATCTTTACACAGAACAACTACTTCTTTTGGATAATTCTCTAGTCTTTATATTCACCATATATTCCATACAAATACTAATTTGAGCTTCAACAGCAAATGCTCCATAAAATCCAACGATATATGGTGAATTACATTGATGAAGAACCTAAACGATAATTATTTAAATAAATAATAACAATAAACAACACGAATTTACTTTAAGTTCTCGAATAATTTGAGTTTTCAGTGCTGGTTTAACTTCCAAATAAATGATCTAAAATTTTTAAAATCAAAATAAAATTTTAACTTAATAGTTACAATACCTTTCTAGCCATGATTTTGTCTGTTGGTTTATGACGAACTTTATAAACAACTCCACCATTTCCTTGACCTAATTCACATATATTAGCAAGATCATCTTGTTTTAATTCTCCCACGGCACGTTTTGCTTTGAAAAATTCTTCCATACGATCTTTTTGTTTATCAGTACATTCAAGTTGATTGAATTCTTCCTGTAAACGTTCAATACATACATCTGGAATACTGAAAAAAAAACGAACAAAAAAGTATAAATGTTTATTTCTATTTCGAAATTGTTATCTTATCATACCCATTTTCACTATGATTTTGATCACTTGGATCTTTTGGTACTTCGGGTAATGTTAAGCCTAATTTGTTTTTACCTGATGATATTGGTTCATTAATAGGCATTTTACTTGTATATCAATAAGAAATAAATAAATAAATATATTATTATTATTAAAAGAAAAATTTCATCGACAGAACAGAACAACAGATGTGTTAAGTCATTGGCAATAATAAACAAAATGATAGGTACGCCACTTTCATTATCAATAAATTTGTAGTTTTTTTCCCTCAATATCAAATTTTATGTTGAAAAATTTTTTATTTTTAAATAAAAAAGAGAAGAATTTATTAATTGTGAAAAATAAATTCAGTTTTTAAAACTAAAATTTCATTTGTTTATTCAATTATCCAATAAAATCATCATGAAATTATTGGCTCATCCTTTTTTTAATTTCAATTTCATAGATCTAATGTCGAATAATTTTGGTCGAAAGTCGGATTTTATTCCGGCAGTTTATACACGTTATTTTGAACGGACAGAAACTCGAAAATCTTCTTCTTCTTCTTCTTCTCATATCTTTTTTAATGATAATAATGAAGAAGCATCCAAAGATTATCAAATAAAACGAGATTTAATAATTAAACGATTATTTCCATCAAAATATACTGATTCAGATAATAATCAAACTGAAAATGAACAGTAAAATAATTTTTTTTTCTGATATTAACTAATATTAAATTTCAATTTCTTTTGTTATCTTATAAAGCATTAACCAAAGTGGAAATAATATTTCATTAAAGAAAGCAGCTCAATCTTTAGGTGATTTTATTCCTCTTTCAAATATTAATTCGTCATCGTCACCATCAAACCGGTTTAAATTAATAACATTTAAATTCTATTTATATATTCATATTTTTTTGATAGAAAACAATCATTAGAAACAGATGTTATTTTTACAAGTTCAGATGAAAATGAAGAAGATTTATTAATTGAGTATGATTTATCGAATGAAAAACAAAAAAGAAAAAAAAAATTTTTTTATGCATTTAATTCTTTAGAGAAAAATTACCAACAAATACACATGAATCAATCATTGGACATATTCATCCTCGTTCAACAATAGAAAATGTTCGAACAATATTAATACGTGAATTATATCAACGAACAAGTGATTCACATACGGAATGGCTTAAATGTAAAATGAATTTACCTAAAGAATATATTAATCCAAAATATTATGCTGATTTTCAACGACGTTATAAAAAAGATATTAAGAAAAATACGCCGAAAAAGAAAAAATCTAATTCAATAAATAATAAATCAGAAAATGGTTATCATGTTTTTGATTTAACTACGAATGATGAATTAACAACTCAAATTAATAATACATTCGAAAGTGGTAAGAAAAAACAAACGATTTTATTCGAGTTTACGATCTTTTAAGGTTATATAAATATGATAGAGAAAAAGAAAGTCGTACAATGTCATAATTAAATATATAGAATACTTCGTTTGGTTACTATTATGATTACAGTCTTAGAGTTGTACTTTTTACCTACTGACAAACTATGATAAACATTTCAATATATCTGTAGCGGCCTAGTGGGTTTTTCGACATGCCGATTTTCGATTTGTTATATAGATGATGAGTTTTCTACAATGGTTAAAGCACCTCCATCGTGTTTAATATGTTAATCTGTAAGAATAACGACGAAAGCTTTTTCTTTATTATGCATTTCTGTAAGTTTCCCCTCTCTTAGCATCTATCGATGGACAGAAAATTTCGCAGAACGAAAAAAATTCTATATTAGTTTTGCACACTAATTAAATGTTTGTTTTTTTTATGTAGAAACTATGAATCATTTGTATATGTACTCTGTTATCTCATAATTGATATACTTTGTTATTTCTTATGTCATACTGACAAATATGATTTAAATAATACGAAATAAAAATAAAAACATAGATTGCAATAATGAACAATGATTCCGTTTTGTTCTGATAATAAAACTTAATATCGATGTCAGTTTATAGAATATATTTAGCATATTTTGATGAATATTCATTGAATAAATATATTTTAATGCATGTTCCGTCATTGAAATAGACGTTAACATCATTTAAAATGGTTTCATATGCGGAAAAAAACACTTCTATGATCACTTTTTTTGACCAAAAAAACATACAAAAAGTCGAGAAAATCTATATCAACTGTTTACTATTACCAGTTATCACTTTGCTCAGTTCCCGACTCACGAGATCTACTTTGTAGATTACAGTTAAATATTATGTTAATTTGAGCGAATAATCTTATAAATCATACCTTTCAATAACAAACTCAGGAGAGAAAACTTAAAGAAATGAGATTTGGTACGAAGAAATTTGCGAATAATTTTCACTAGATTGATACAAACCGAGATCAGATCTAAAAAAAATTAAAAATCATTGTAATCAAAAGAATTAAAATAAAACATTGTTTCGCACACTTTTAATTATAATACATTTTTGAATAAGACTATAGTTACTCAATATCATCAAACTTCACATACAGTAGTAGACAAAAGTCGTTATCTCATCATATTCCGACTAGAAAAATTTGTGTGTACATAATGCACCAAGAAAATAAGTTAGAGACAACCATACCTCGACTGCTTATGTAACAAACAGAATTATGATAGATGTTACTGGATGGTACATAAGCCGTTCTTTGGAACTCCATAACTCTGGAAAGGAAGAGCTTTATGGGTTAGCCGGTCCCTTTTTATGTAATACTACGTTTCAAATATCTACGCTATTGATTTCATTGAACTTCATCAATCCTTTCTAGAATCGTAGCCATTGCTCTGAAGAAAATTAATCTACTGTCCTTTAGAAACCATATGCTAGTAATAGTTCAATGAAGTGAGCTTCAACATCTAGAAAAGCTTCGCAAATGATTAAACATTATCGCCTAAAAGTCTCATAAAAGAATTAAGAATTACAAAAATCATAGCATGCCAATCATCATCGTAACTCACAGATACATCCCGAGATGACAATCTTCCAGTAAATGAACTCCTACTTTGGGTTAAGAACAATCGTAGATGGAGCTCCAATGGTGTGCTAAAATATCAAGAACTAGTCATATATTTCATAAAATAAACAATCCAAACTTTATCAGACAGCATTTTTCGGGTTCAAAAGCTCAAAGCAAAAATAAACACAGTTCATCATAACTCATTCTCTTTGTACTTAAGTAATCGTATTGCACTTTTGTCGCTGATCTATATTTGTACAAATTTTCAGATCTCCAGCACGTATGATAGCTAAGACTCGATTGGATAAAGACTTTTGTTCACCATTGTAGATGTTAATAAATTTTGTAAACTTATTTTGAAACATGTATTAGTTAACATCGAAATCATTCTAGATAATTTTCTTGTTATTGGTGAAATGCAAAAGTTCGAATGTCTCGTAATGAAAAATTTTCGGTTATTTGTGAATCAATCGTTAATATATGTTTAATTAACAAATATTCTTAGAGCCTAGTTACTTGTGTGTATTGATGCAATAAATTGTCATGATTACCTTATAATTATTCGATACAGTTTGATTTTTGAGTGATCGAAATTTTATACAGTACTGATGATTAATTTTTTGATTTTTCATAACTCATACGCATGACCCCTTAGCCCTTTAACGACGGGTTTTTTCTTTGAGGAGATGCGAAAATTGTGATTTCGAAATGGAGCATATAGATCAACTGGAAAAGTGGGTTTCGCGATGAATCATCGTACTTCATAAGATTCTGGAACTGTACAGTCAAAGAGAATGACGCAGAGTCTTATAAAATCTTGCAGGTGGCTACATGAAGAACTTTGAATACTATATCATAGTACAGATTTCATAAAATTTAAAATTTGATGCTCTGCAGCATTAGAGCTTTAGTAATAACAACAGCTCTATCTAACAATAATGATCCTAGAATTTCACAGAATACTATGAAATTCTGTTTGGCTCCATGTTGTTCTAAAAGATTTTGAATATAGAGATTCGATAGATTTTCGCGTAATTCCAGATCTAAAATTTCTTGTCTCGCATTTCACGTACATACGTGATTGTATCACATTATGATGTTGTGTGATACTAACACATTAAGGGAAAGAGAGAATACTATTATGTCCTAGTGAAGATAGGTGACTGTACAAGTTGGAATCTGTGCAAAAGCTCAAAACGTATATACACGTTTTCTATCACTAAATGATTATCTATGAATTTTGTTTTTGAAACTAAACAATTAACTTTTAAAAATTTAAAACGTTTAAGAATAACAAAAACTTTTCCGACAAATATATTTAATAACTTTGTATGCGCTAAATAATAGTAATATTACAACAGCAAATTGAAAATAACTCAACTTAAAAAATAATGAATTCGAAAATGATTTTTTTTTCTAAGAATTTAGAAGACTCTACATCTAGAATTTTCAAAAGGATATTACTTTTTTTGTATGTATGTACAATTCACTGTATACTTATGTCTGTCACTACTACCTATAAAAACAATAACGAAGAAAATGGAAATAGTACAATAAATTCAGAGGTAAATGCCAGACCATGAATGATGTTCGGGAAGTAAACATAGAAAAGGAACTACTCTTGACAAAGAGGACGATAACTGCTTGTAAAATATTAAAATCAATATAGTTGAGAATAATAGAACCCATATGAAGCGCCAAGAACACACCATAATTAAAGAGTTGTAGTCTCTATTTTTCCATGATGGCTTTGATGTAAAGAAGGATACTTCTATCTTTCAGCTACCTTAGGATATGAGGTAGTACCTAGTGGCAGATTCAATAGCCCGATATCTTCCCTAAAACAAATACTATTTGTAGTTCTGAACAGAAGATCAGCCTAATGCAGAGGTCATGACTTCAATTACTGGAGCTCTTCATACACACTAACTAACTGCATACCAGTCATAAAAGCGGGTGTATATCATAACGTCCTCGGCATGCTGTCGTACGAGTGGTTTGAGATAAATAGCTGTTAGTGACCTGTCCAGAGTCATTCCTTAGTTGATAATACTGAGTTTTGCACACCGTATCTTATGAATACGGGCTGAATAATGAAGCCACTCAATCATAGTGACTTTCTAGAAAGTGATAATAGTTGCTTAACCAGAAAAAATTTGTTGAGAGGAGTCAGCCTCCTTCACCATGTCTGAAGTGAGAACGAAAACTCTCTGATAATGCTTCTGGAAGAAACTCAATCCTCTTTGTAAGAAGAGCTCAGACTCTTGTGAGGAGGATGAGATTAAGCCTCTGTCTAAATTATGTCACTACTGTGTAGCATTTTTCTTTATTTTGAAACACAATAAGTTTGTAGACTGTAAGATAGTTTTATGTGTATTCGATTTCACATAATATCAACTTAATCTATATAATTAATTAATGAATAATATATAAAACTTTTTCTGAAACTGATTTTTCATTCTTCTATATTCGTAATAGATAAAAAAAAAAATATTCTATTGTTCATCTCATAGAAAACAAAAATTTCAGATGTAGTGTCATTTATTTGTATATTTTTACAGATGATATCATTGAAACTTCACCTACTAAACCAGTAAACAATACTTCAGCTTCTTCATCTATTATTCTCATAAATGATTCACCCACTCAATCCAAATCTACACCTGAATTTATTATTCTCGATTCTGATGAAGACAATAATGATAATACAAATGATAATGCTAGTCAAGATAATAATAACTCAACATATTTTATCGATCGATCATCAAATTCATTTACTGCAATTTTACAACCAACAGTAACACCCAATGAAGATTACCATGAAGAAGATTCAAAATATGCTCAATTACCTTCACGTAATACATCGTCTGAATTAATTATCCGTCCTATCATAAGTAAACATCAACGACGTAAACAAAATACTTCACCAAAACCACTTGTATCAGCAATCGATCGAATAATTGATCAAATAGATCAATCAAATCCATTGGATAATTCAACAGCAATGGAACAACAAAATATTCTTATAAAACAAATTAAAAAACGGAAGAAGAAAAAGAAAAAGAAAAAACAACTTAATAATTCAACTGTCAATTAAATTAAAACATTTTATATCTTTTGTTTGTTTTCTTTTTGTTTCTCAGTGATTATAGTCTTTCTTTTTCTTGTATCAAGATATTTGTTTGAAATGGAAAAAAAAGAAAGAAATAAAGAAGACAAAATCAATTTAATATATATATATATTTATATATATATTTTTTTCTTTATAAACGAGAAAAAACTCACAATTGACTTTTCAAGGTTAAACAAAAAAAAAAAAAAAGGAAACCAAACAATTTGGAATAATAACACAGCTGAATACTGTTTCTTCTTAATATTATTGTTTTTCACTACCATAACAAAAGAATTAAAGCAAAAAGTAGAACTACCACCGTAATAAGAAGAAGAAAAAAAAAAAGAGAAAAAAAAATAATAATAACAATATAAAAACTCGAAATACATGTAAATATATGTCATGCATAATTTTTCTTTTCTATTCAATTAATAACTCTTTTACATTTTCAATGCCAACAATTGGATCTGGTTGAACAAGTGTACCATTAAAATGAAGTTTTATATGTTCGGTTAAGGAATATTTTGATGTTGTGTGAGCAATAAATGAACAAAATGGACATGATTGATTGTTATGCATATAATTAATATGATTAGTAAATACATGCATTGTAAACTGTTCAAGATTTGAATAATTATTTGTATTTGACGAAGGTGTGCATACGGGACATTGAAATAGATTATTATTTTTATCGAATTGCATCTGTATATCATCACTTTCCATTCCATCTTCGTTGTCAACATCACCAGTGTCTGATGATGAATCAATATCAAATTCTTCATCATCATGTTCAAGACGACGATGAAGATCTAATGCTTCGGAACGTTCACATTGATGTGGACATAATGGACATTGATGTTGTTCAATTATATTTGCATTGGTTATTCGAGTTGCTGATTGAAATTCAATTATTGTTTGACTAGTTGGATGTACAATTTTCATATGACGAATCATTGAATTAGGAGATGATGTTGCATAGGAACAAAGTGGACAAATAACACCTTGACCAGTTAAATGAATTATTAAATGATGTTGAACTGAGGATAAAGATGAACTTTTATATGGACATACAGAACATATATAAGTAACCGTTGAAGTTCCATCAGAATTTTCTTCTTCATCTTCATCATCTAGATCATCATCCATATATTGTTTTTCTTGATTATTAATATCTCCATTTTGTTGTATGATTTCTTTCGATGATAATGATTGTTGATTTGGTTTAATAGTCGATGATGATTTAAGTGAAAGATCTAATGGTGCATCATCATCATTATTTTGTGAAGGTGATGTTGTTAATAGAAGACGAGAAACAATATTTGATGGATTAGGCAATTGTTTAAACTATTTAAAAACGAAAAGAAATTTTCAATTACATACAAAAAACTTATTTTCGTCTTTTTTTACTTCTTTAGTATTTAATAATGGTTGTATATTATTTTGTGTTATTGTTTTCGATGCATGTTTAACTTTAGTTTTATTTATACGTTTTATTTCATCATTAGTTGTTGTTGTTGATGATAATATTGTTTGTCCAGTTATTACAGGATTTTTCTTTGGTTTATTATTATCATCAGATAATGTTCCACTGTTAATATTACTCTAAAAAATAAAACATATTATTTGTTTTCAAAAAGAAAAAGATTTTTTTTAACTTTATTTACATATTGAAGTGAACCATCTTTAGGTGTAAATTCTTCTTCAGCTTTAGCCCAATCATTCCATGTTCGAAATGTACGTCGTCGAAGTTCTTTTCCAAATGTATTTTCATATGTTTCAATTGTTGCACGTGCTTCTTGTTCACTCATTAAAATCATATCTAATTAAAATCAATAATTAAAAATTTTTTATAAAACGTGGCTTTTTTTTTACCTTTATTATGATCAGGTTCAGTTAAATTATGTCGTATTCTTACATGTCGAATCATATCAGTTTTCCAATTTGAACGATAAAAACAATGACGACATTTTAAACGTTTAATACCAAATTTGGGTTGTACGGCATAAAGACCAGCATTTAGTTTTGAACCTTGTAATGAAAGTAAAGCTTCTTCAACAGCTGGTGAAAATTTTGCTTTAGCTAATGCAGTTGTTGGAGATAATGGAGCTCGTATTGGTATTTTTGTTACTGTTGCTATTGTTGTTTGATTACCACTTTTATGTTTAGATTTTTTTGTTAGTAACTTTTGATTTTTATCATTTATTGCTGATCGACATTGTGTTAACATATGAGCATTTGATTGTCCTGGATGTAAATCATTAATATGTTTTTGAACATTCCATGGAACATTTGATGTAAATTCACATAATGAACATTTATATGTTAATATCATTGTATTATTTGAATTAGGATTTAATGATGAACGAATATTATCATTTTCATCATCGTCATCTTCAACATCTTGTTGACGAAATAAATCATTTTGTCCATCAGTTCCAGTTTCCATACATGAACTACTTACTGATGATGATTCTGAATCTTGATGATAAGATTTATTTGAAAAATCTCCTAAATAATATTTATTTTTTTTTAGACTAAATTTGATCGATAACATTTCTTATAACTGCTTAAGAAAATCCCTTACGAAGTCATATGTAAAAGATGCATTAATTTCTCTGTTCTTTGACTTATGAGGTACGAGTATATTTGGACTAAAGTGACTGTTGTTAATAGGCACGATTATATTCATTTTTTCATAAAAGCTATTAGAACAATTCCTACACGATTAAAATGTGAAACACAATTTAGCGGCTGCTGCTAATCATAGGGAGATTATTTTATTTTATCTATTTTGGTATACTTTTCTTTACCGTCATTTTACTTAATCCTTAAGAAATCCAACAAGAAGTAGTTCATATATTAGAACGTGACGTTATTGATATGCAATGTGTGATCGTATATCAACAATGTCTGTCGTATCTATGATGAGTCGTTGCTAAATGTCTGCCAGTTTTGTAATGAGTCGTTTCTAACCCGTCTGCTACGGTCTGTTGATTCCGATTTGTCACGGACTGTGGTGAAGGGTGTAGATGGTCCACCCTACGTGCTTCAGCATGCCTTTTAGATCGTATTTGACAAAAAGAGAAATCATATGAAATATGAGAATTATTGAAACTTCTCACAAGTTACAATTCTATATCATGAATAGATCATAGAAATAAATAAAACTAAGAAAACCCTAAAAGGATATCTACCCAAGACCTTCTAGTCAAAAATTATAGTCCTTTTATTAAATTTCAGAATTTGTAGTCAGATTTTTTCGAAAAAAATGAATTGAAGAATTTTCAAGCGAAATTTTGCCAATAGATAGATCTAGTTGTTCTTAGAATAACTTGAAAGTTATAATTAGATTACATGTTACTTGTTAGAATGGCTGTGTTACGAGTTTTACGAATTTTATTGATGTGATTTTTCTCGTAATACCAAATTGGAAATATTTATATCTATTGAAAGGAGTCGCTTTATCTCAAACTCTCTTAGGCTATCTCTTAGAAAAAGTTTCTTCACATGTACACAAAGTATTAACAACAACGATGTGGATTAGATGGGAATTTTACCTCAATGATTATACGATTATTTATTTACTTATTTTTGATACACCATTCTCAATCAATGCAGTTATGTGCTACTGGTCATGCTCGAACTATTTCGTCTATCATGTATTTATTATTTGTACTTATAGATCAGTACAGAACGACACACAATCATGCGAAAACAAAGTATTTGTATTTATCGATTTTATAGATAGAATTTACTTCAAAATAAAAAAATAATATTTACCATTTTGAAGTGAATATGATTCATCATTTATTGGTGTTCCATCGGGTTGTATATCTAGAACAGATGCTGTTTGTAATGTATGAAAATGTTTAATATGCTAAAAAAAATCAAAACATTATTAAATGTTTGTTTTTTTTTTTGTTTATAGATAAATTTCAGATACATACACGAATAATAACCCATGTATGTTTCGATTGTAATGGACATAATGAACAACGAAAACGTTTTAATGGTGGTGTTATTTTTTGTAATTTAACAGCTAATTCAGCTGGTAATTCAATAACATGTACATCTGGTTGTTCAGGATGTTTAGCACGTATATGTCTTTCAACAACCCATTTATATGTTCCTTGTTGATGACATGAACTACATTGAAAAACTCGAACAGGTGCAAAATTTGGTAAGATAGATAATGTTGATGAATGTTGTTGAATGAAATTTGCATCAGTTTTTTTAATTGTTTTTATTTTTTCTTTACGTTCTTGTTGTTCAATTAAATTAATATTTGATTTAGTTATTGTATTTGTCTCATCTTGATCATGATTATCATCATCAATAGCATCATCATTTGATATATTATGAGGATTGTTATTATGATTATTATTTGATAATGACATTTGATGTTCAGAATCTTGTCGAATTATTTTTATAACTTTTGATTCAACATTTGGATGTTTACGTGCTTGATGTTTTCTGTAGAGAAAAAAAAAACGAACAAACAAAATAAAAATAAATAACCTTTTTTTTTTTTTTTGTTTTACCGAACATCTCCACCGTAGTTTGATGTATAATCACAATAAGGACAACCAAAATAACGTACAGGTTCATCTTGTTCACGTACTGTATTTATATTATGAACTGAACTATTCATTGATGTTCCATGTTGTCCACCGGATTGTTTTGACATAGATTCATCACCTTCAGTTGTATCGAATAAAAAACGTTGAATATAATCATTGGAATTTGTACTATATCGATGATGTTTACGACGTATATGAAATGAGCAATCACCTTTTTTTTGTGATAATGAGAAATTAATGAGTATAAAAGAAAAGCAAATAAACAAAACATCTTTAATCATACCTCGATATTTATATAAACGATTGCATAATAAACATCGATAATTTTTATCACGTATATGAGCTATAATATGGAGTTTAAATTGTTCAATATCAGTTGTTTTATAATCACAATAAGGACAATCAGTTGTTGCATTTGTTTCAGAAGCTAATGGTGATATTGTTTCATCTTAAAGAAGACATATTATTAATTTTTATTGAATAAAAAATACCGAACAAGCGAAGCCTTCCAAGTGATAAATTGCTGTTGAGTCGAAACTACGTGCATTTTGCAGAGCTAAATGAGCCATGAATACCATGAAAATAGTTCAGATCCTTCGCTTATTGCTGTCGAGATATTACACGTTTACGGTAGTTTTTAAATAAATGCCGTGGTCCGTTTCACAAACACAAGGAAAATGTTTTTCGAATTTTTTGTTTTGAAACTTTATACAGACATAGTTCTTAACAAGAATAGTTTCACATCTTGTTATTATTTGTATCTATCTTATGATACAGATATGGTAAAAGCGTGTCTTTTACATCGCTCATATAAGTCGGTAGATTCAATGTGTTCTTATTTCAGGATAGAAGCAAATCAAAAGAACTGAATTTTTTACAATAAGCTATATGTCTTTAAGATTTGTCTCTCTACAAATTTTTATGTCAAAATTCGAATCTCAAATGTTCCTGAAAGGAACTATAGCATTCATTTAAAAACTACTGTAGATTTTCAGTGTCTATACAGCAGTAAACTAAAAGTTCGAACTCTTTTCACTATATTAAAAATTCATTTGGGTCTACATGATGCACATAATCCTAACTCAAAAGTGATTAATCAGTTGGAGGGCTTTTCTTGTAATTTTGATTTTAATTTTACTTTGTTGTTGAGATGCTTTTTCAGATGGTTCAATATCTTCGGTATTTGCTAAATTTATTTGTTCTTTAGAAGTTGAATTGATTTCAATTTCAGATGTTTCAATTTGATTTACTTGTGATGTAAGATTTTCAAATGTATGTTGTCCATCATAATTTGATAAATCAGTATGATGTTTTCGTTTTGCATGTCGTAATAAATGTCCAAGTCGATGATATGTTGAACTACATATTGGACATGTTAAAATAGCTTTAGGTGACATTGTTGTTGGATTTGATGATGAATCTCGTTCATCATCTTCATCTTCATCATCATTATCGTCATCATCATCATCATCATCATATTCATGATCATCATCTGATTCTGAATTATTATCAGCACCATTAATAAATATATTTGTTGGTGTTGATGGTGATACTGTTCGTTTAACTCGTTTAATTCCGGATGAATGTTCTAACAAGAAGAAAAACAAAATAAGTTTGTTTTCTTAGACATTTTTGATAAAAGAACATGTCTTTATGCGCAATTCCAATAAAACCTATCGAAAATATTTCTTCTAACATAATAATTAATAAATTTATTATGAAAAATGGAATACTGATTGTTCTATAAACATAGTGTTCCTCGTATAGAATAATGAGATTAAATCAATTCGAAAAATTAGATTAAATCTTGTTGTTTGTGAAAATCATTGATTTATCGAAAAACGTTTGTGATAAAACTTTATTCAAGGATTTACTATTATTTTATTTTATCCGTTGAAAAATCTTTTCATAATAAAAATGACAATCATACAAAATTAATTGATCTCATTTATAAGTTCGATCATTATCATCAAAACTATTCGAATTCACCTTCGCTATATTATACATTAAGAAGAGACTATCATAAAAAATAAAAATAAAAGCTTTTTTTTTATCGAATACCTTTTGTCGATTTAATACCATTCAATGAAGATTGAGGCTAGATAGACATAGATAATATTCAAACGATGAAAAATGAACGGGATGAAAGCATTTAAGTTACCTGTTCATCATCAGGCGCCTCACGTTTACTGGCCTTGTTGATAATGTTTGATGATGGTGAAGATTGTGTTAGTAGTGATGGTGCATCTTGACATCCATGCCCGTGTGCACCTGAAGATATATGCATAAATATGTATAGAATAGACCAAGGTGAAAATAAATTTTGTTCATACTTGTCAAATGATTTTCGAGTGCTTCTAGATTGTCCGAATTGAATGGACAATAGATGCAGATATAAGCCGTAGAAGCATCGTTAGTCATCACCGGTGCTTGAAAATAACGGAAGAAAAAAGAAAAATGTATACAACAAAATGAATATAAACTATATGGATCAATAGCTATTCATTCAAACGATATATATATATATATTTATAGTTATGTGCACATGTCAACTTTGATTGATCATCATTTGATATATATTCGTTTACGATCTATTCTTCGTTAAATATTTCGTTTGATTTCTCTCTATCGTCTTTTTTTTTTCTTTCTTCAATAACAACAACATCACTTTTTTGTTACATACAGGTGTATTTTATACATAAGAGCTCGGCTAGCTTATAGAGAGAGAAAGAAATACAAATCATATTCATTAAAGTTAAGTTTTCTTTTGTCAACTAATCGACAACGGATTGTCATCAAATATTTCGTTGGAAAAAAACGTACGACACAAATACAGAAATGTTATCGTATGATTGTTGTAAATTAGTACCTTACTTCTGGTGTAATGCTTGATGATGTACTTTATTTTCTTACCTTATTTATAATGGATAATAATTGTGTTAATATTACTAACATCAAATTGACAGAAAAAGAACTGAAATCACTAAAATCTAAAACTAGAAAGAATATAAAAAAGAGCAATGAAAGTGAAATCTATGATTATGATCTATTAAATAAATGTATGTAGGTACAGGTAAAACTTAATATGAAATGATCATTGAATACCAATAGTCATGTTTGACTTAACTAAAGCTTCATAAGATTTGTGATAAATGTCTATATGGACGTGTATTCGATGTTGATGGGCACGTATAGATAAGACAAAAAAAAAGAAAAAAACATCTTTTTTTACATCTTCGTTTTCTCGTATCCCGTAACAAGAAAGAAAAACGACGTAAGGCGCAACATTCTTCTCTTCTTCTTCATTATACACATTCAATACTCAATTTCTTTGCGTCTTTCGTTCTCTCTCTCTCTCTGTCTCCCTCTTCTTTCTCTGTTCGTCTTCTTTCGACGTGCACATACATCTACATGTAGTATTGGTGTGATTATAGAACATGTCAGGCAGAGAAGAGAGAAGAAGAAGAAGAAGAAGAAGAAGAAGAAGAAGGGATGCGCGCGTCTATAGCACATATGATGCGCTTGTGCACACGCAGTTTTTTGAAAAACGAAGAAGAGAGACAGAGAGAGAGAGAGAGAGAGAGAGAGACGAGCGCATCGAAGGCGAAAGACGAAGGCCAAAGACGTGTGTGTACATACGTACATCATCGCCCACTTCCCATCGTGATCTTCCAATCATCATCTTCTTTTCTCATCACACATATAAAGCAATTTCAAGAGAAAAAAGGTGTGATATAAAATGCAGCATTTTTTTGTCATCTATTACGCAGACAATAACCGAAGAAGACACGATCAGTAAAAGAAATCGATTTCTCACATATACATACATTTACTGACATAGTAATGGGTTCGACTTTCACCTTTACATGAATATATGTATATACAAATATTCGTACACATGCCATCACCATTACTCTTTTATATGTGGAAAAAAGTAAATTGGCCATGAAAATGCATATTAAATTTTAGAAAATAATGAGAGCTTTTCTACTTTCGAAGGAAAAAAGAACTTAAGACGAAAATTTTTTTTTTCTTTATAATATATTCGTATTAATAAGTAGTGTAATAATATAAAATGATCAAAATGTAATAAACAGAACTTCCAACAAGTTTCTGTACTCAAGGAAGAGAGTTACTTACGAGAATAAGACATCACATCAATTTTCGTTTATCAACTATTCAACAAAAATCATATATTTGTTTCGTCTTCTATCTATCTCAAGTTATATGTGAAACCGACAGAGAGAGAGAGAGAGAGAGAGCAAGCAAAAAAAAAAGAAAGGGTTTAGATTTTAGTCTTTTTTCTCTTTTAAATTCAAATATATAATCGGTAGCGATAGTAGTAAGTCACTCTAGGCAAAGAGAAGAGAAGAATAAAGAGAAGGATAAAAGATTTTTACATGACGAGAATATGCGCAGATGTACTTCATTTAAAAGGAGAGTATATAGATATATACTAAGGAGATTTAGTGGTTCTATGTTCGAAGGCAAAATGGGGGATCGAAGCACAGATGGTTCGAGAATGGAAAATGTGAAATGAAAAAAAAACGGGGAAAGAGAAAAGAAAATGAAGAAGAAAAGAGAAATACGAGACTGATTTTAGTAAGTGTATGGCTGCAGATGGTAGTGGAAGAATTCGTACGTTCTGCTCGTTCGATAATAGAGAGATTCTTGACGGCAGTATTTCTGCCTTTTTTTTTTCATTTTGTCTGTATATGTGTATGTCTCTTTCTCTATGTCTGTATTTATTAAAAAATGCTAACGAAAAGAATAAACGAGAATAAGTATAAGAATAGTTTTCTTGATATACCATGCTCAGCATCTTTGTTCTCTACGAGTTACAAGAAACTATGTAGATATAAAATAACTAAAAGAACAGATAGATTCTGATAAAATCATCTCGGTCAAAGACTTCTTCATTTTCTTTTACTTTTTCACATCATGATGTATTACTTATGCATTTGATAGGCTCTATCTCGTCTGACGAATATGAATATCAACATCAACCGTTTACGTATATGCGCACAAATATGAAAAAAAGAAGAAAAAAAAATGCAGTATACGAACGCGAAAGTGGATGCATGGATGGTTGACTGAGAAGAATTATAATGATTTACTTAAGATTTTGCTCCACCTATCGCGATACTTCAATGCATTAAGGAAGAGAGCGAAAGTACTTACTGTCGAAGAGAAGAAACGCGAGAGTTTTATGCTCTGTCGATTCAAAAAAAAAGTATATGCGTATGTGACCAAGCAAAAAAAAAAAAAAAAGAAGCAGGCAATGACTAGGGATTAAGTTCATGTGCACACAAGTGAATTTTATATAATGCTAGTCCTCCTTCTTTACTTTTTTTTTCTCTTCTGTATATGTATAATACTCATCGAGCGTCAAAAATATTGTGTAAAATGTTATGAAGAGATGATGATGAATATTGTAAAAGCAACCAAAAGAGTTTGTCGATATATAACGCTGTTGAAAGCGCAAGACTCGATTCTCGAATTATATATATATATATATATGCATATTTGCTTATTTCTTCTCTTTTTCTTTCAGTTTCTCTCGTCTTCCTATATCAATCGATAATCGTCCGGATGAATGAGTTTCATGTAGGTTACGCATATTGATCCAGGTAGATGTACGCATACATCCAAATGTATACTCGACCAATAAATTAACAGAAACCTTCGCATTTCGTTATACATACCTACATGTTCTGTCTATTGCTTTTAATATTTGATGAATTGATAAAATATGAAGGAAAATTTTCTTTTTTTTTTTCGTTTATGCTGGAACTTATGTTTATAAAGTAGAACTATAGAAGAAGTGCTCAGCATAGAATACCATTAAAGGGAAGCGAAGAAAAAAAAACAAAATGACGAAAGGAAGTATAGAACATGTACAATGACATACACACACACACAAACAAATATGCTTGCTGTTTTTTCACACAACTCACACATAGAAGAAAATCAAAAGAAATAATATAAATCTTAAGTTTGACAAATACAAAGAGCCAGAGAACACATGAAAAGCAACGATAAGTTCATTACTATAATCAACAAATAGACAAGAAAATAATTGATTTAATAACGTCGTTGTGACAAAGGTTGTGTAACAACATAATGTTGTTCATAGGCACGTGTTTGACCCGTTGGATGAAGGACGAGTCCAGACGGTGGAGCTTGTTGTGTTACATAGGCTGTTGTATGATGAAGAGATGTTGGTGGTGGCGCTAATGGTGCATGTTGTTGAGATGTTGGAATAGCACCTACGGGCACACCAGGGTGACTATACAAATGAGTTTGACCCGTTGCACTGCCACGAGATGATGGAGGCGGTGGTGGTGGTGGTTGATTTGATGGAAGAATAGGAATACGTTGATTGCTGGCCACATTAGCACGGGATCGATCATGAGATGATGATAACCCTTGTGGATGATGGGGCGGAAGTGATGGAGGTGGTACTTGTTGAGAAACATGTGGCCAACCATATGGATCTACTACAGGTGCATGTGAAGCAGCTATAAATAATAACGAATAATTCAAATAAAAAATAGCTAATGAAGGAATCAACCGAACTGATATCTGCCGTTTGAGCTCATATTAAGCTTCAAAAAATGTCTTAGTGAGACTGGAAAATTTCTAAAAGAGTTCGTCCTCGTATAAGTTTTTGGACCTTAGTTAGAATTGTTTCATTGAGTTTTCTATCCAACTTTAGGTATACATCGAAAAATCAAAAAGAACAATTTCAATGTAAAATTTTGCCCACAGATACATGTAATGATTCATAGAATATTTTGAAAATTTCAATAGATAAAAATATAATTTTGCTGAGATATCGAATTTTCAAATAAAGTCAATTTTTTGTATCGTGTCTGTGACAAACAATTATTTTTTAGAAATTCAATATCTCGATAAAATTCTATTGTTTGCATGTGAAACTTTTAGGATATTGACACGGATTATTGGACCTATATATGTGCAACATTATATTTTTTGACTTTTCGATATGCATCTAAAGTTGAATTAGAAATTTAATAAAACGATTCTAACTTGACGCCAAAAGTCTATAGAAGAACGAATCCATTCAGGATTGTTTTATTTCTATCAAAACCCTCTTGTTTACCGAATATGCGCTCAAAAAGCAAGTATCAATTCGAGTGATACCATCGTAAGAAAAAAAATTTACTGACTTTTAACGGGCAAATCAGGATGATGATGTTGTTGTTGTCTTGATGGAGGTGCTGCTGACCACAACCCTTGTTGTTGTTGTTGTTGTTGAGCTGATTGAGATGATTCAGAAATGTATTGAGTAGGTAAATATTTGTGAGTGTCTAAAATAAAAATAATTATATTTTATCATTGAACTGCAAAATTTAAACACAAATCGTTCTAATCTCAAACGTATAAATTACAAAAACATATTATATTTACCATCTGCATAATGTGGATTATCACGAGGTTTTGGTCGTTCCCAATGTGTTGTTTCCATTGATTCACGGCGTAATGTATTATTTGATGGTGGTGATCTATCACGACGTGGTGCTTGTTGTATATATTCCCGATCATCAAATCGTTCACGTGAATGTGGACGTCGAAGAATTGCATTGGTATTTGTTGGTGGTGAAGCAACATTACGAGAAGAACGTTCATAAGCTGTACTAACAGATGATGTAGGTGGTAAAGCCATATCTCGTCCACGTTGTGGTAATGTATTATAAGGATCTGATAGACGATGTTGATTAGATGATGAAGAAATATATCGTTGATTATTATTAGTTGAACTTATTGATGATGAAGAACTAAGACCAAGACTAGAATTCGATGATGGATGATCAGATTCACGATAAACAACACGATCACGACTGAAAATATTAATTAAAAAGAAATATTTTTAAAGTAAACTCTACATATATTTCTTACAATATAGGTTCACGTTGATTATTTGTATATTGTCGTTTTGGTTCTGGATAATAATCACGATTAGTATCATCAAGGGATCGATCACGTCCACGTCCACCTGTTGTATTTGTTGATGTTCGATGATCATATCCTTTATTTGAATTATTAGTATTATTATTTGTATTTGTATGATGTGAACGTTGTGTTTCATGATGTGATGAACGTGGACGTTTATTATCATTATGTGATGATATACGATGTAATTTTTCATCACGTAATTTAGCTTCAACTTGTTGTTGTTGTTGTCGATGTTTAGCTTCATCAACTAAACGTCTTTGTTGTTTTTCAAGTTCTCGTACTTGATCTTGTTTTTCTTTTTCTAACGCAAGTCGTGTACGTTCAATTTCTAAACGTTCACGTTCAAGAACTAGCAATAAATAAATATTTATTTAATAGAGCTTCATTCGACAAAAAAACTAAAAAAAATTAAAGAATTTTTATTACTTTCAAATTCACGTCTCATTCGTGCACGTTCTTCAGCTAAACGTCGTTGTTGTTCTTTTATATTTTCTTCTTCTTGTTGTTGAACATATTGTTTTCGTACAAGTATTTCTTTTTCATGTCTTAAACGTTCTTCATTTTGATATGCTGAACGACGATCAGTATCAAATGTTTTTGATGATGTTGAATGATGAATAGTATCTTTGGACTAAAATACAAAACAAAGATTATATTATTTTATTTTTATTGTTTCAAATTATGAAATTTTAAATGTACATATGTATCTTTTGGTTTATCGTATTGATTTGATATCATACGTGATGATATATGTTGTTTAGATTTATCAATCGAAGATGAACGATGATGATCAGATTTTATTGTTGATGGGATATAATGTTTTTCACTTGAATGACTTCGATGTGTTGCAGGTGATGATGCCTTGGATTTTGAGACATATGCAGCATGTGTTGATAATTTTTCGGATCTATTTGAGTGTTTATCATTTTTACGCTCATTTGTAGTTGATGTATGAGAAGCTTCTGAAAAAAGATACAATCAATATATTTGGAAATCTTGATTGTTTTTAGAAGTGATAGGGACCGAAAAAAATTAGCAGAGAATTGGAATCTATTCGTCTGGTGAAAAGTATTTGAGAAAAGCTATCTTTTCAAATTTTGCAGACACGACGTAAAAAGTGAAAGGGTAATGAGAAGGGGGGGGGGGGACAAGACTAGCATGAGCAGTGCAAGTTCAATGTTTTAGGGAAACCATAATACCCTATTGCTTCGTTAGTGCACCACCTATGAAATCTAATCCATCCTACAGCGAGACTTATGTATATATTTTTCATATCAAATTTGTTAGAAACAAATCCTCGCATGAACATTAATAAAAAAAAAATCATATACACAATATGTCAAGTTCGGCAGATTTAAATAAGTATAGCAAGGATTAACAATATTATCCTTAATCATCTAGTTTTAAAGATGTGATTCATGACGTATAGACAAACGTTAATAGAAACTAAATCTTTTATATATTATGATAACAAATATGGTTATCGAAAATAACATCATTGTGAAAGATGCAAATGAAAATGATTATCAAATCATAAGCCATTAGTAGGAACCAGATATAGATCTTCAAATATCAGTGTTTCAGTCGATAATAGTACAATTAATATGTTGTAAAAATAAGATATTATTATTATTATTCTAATATATTCTCACTAAAGAAACGAATAGCATTAAAAAAGCCGATTAACATTATATATTCATCGAAGAATGTGCAACTGAAACGAAAAGCTCGATTCTCTTTCTTATTCATACATTCAACGAAAGCAAAAGAGAAAATGATTTACTTAACACACAAATAAATCATATAAAAACTTAATCTTTGTTAATAAACAAGTAATAGAACCAATCGTCTATGTTTGAAGATGTATTTTTAATGTTTCATTGTTAGGTATTGTAGTTAAACTTAAACATGAAAGAAACTATGTAAAGAACAACAGAATTTTTGTTTGAACGGAAGACTGATTTCAAAACGTTTCTTTCAACAAAAAAAAAAATATAATCATAAACTATTGATAATACCTAATTTTTCGTTTGTTTTCGCAACATCTGCACGAGATATATGATATTTTGATGATTGACTGTTACTACTACTCGATGAAGTTCTTCGTTTTCCATTATATGATTCATTTGATTTTTTATTGAATGAATCAGTTTCATATGATTTAACTGTTTTGTCATCATTATTTGATTTGTTTACATCGGATGTTGATAATTTCTTTTTATTTTCATTAGATATTGATGCTGAACGTTTTTTTGATGATACATTTGTTTCAATCGTTGATGATTTATCTTGATTATCTGTGATTGAATCACGATTTTTATATGAATCATTTGTAGATGATTTATGACTTGATTGATCTGATCGTTTTTTCTGTGCACTTGAAGATGTTTCACGTGATGATATTTGACGATTAGATGATGTTGATCTACTATTTGATTTGGACTTTGAAGATGATGAATCCGATGTTTGATCATGCATTTCCTACAAATTCGGAAATGAATATGACAAAAAGACATACGCCAAAATATTCGTTTTTCTTCTATTCTAATTTACATGTGATTATTCATATTTCTTAAGAAATATCTATTAGAGCAATTCCTATAGGATTAAAATATTAAACATGATATAACTCTTATTGCTAATCACAGCAAGACTGTTTTAAGCAATCCATTTTGATGTTATTAATATATAGTTTGTGGGAGAAAGAGATTGAACTCAAATTTTTACTCGTATACTTCAGCACTTCTTTTAGGTCGTGTTTCAGTAAATGAAGCTCAAAGAATGTAGCATCTATTTGGTGCTTGCAATAGTAATCTATATACTCGATAATACGTCTCATTATATTATTAACTAAAAAAAAAATGTGTCATGTGGTTTTACTTAATTGAAAGAAAATTAGGCAAATGATGCATTGCAAAATCGGAAACGGTAGCGGTTTTCCCTAGCAGTATCAGTAGAGATGGCTAGATAGAACTGGTATGCTAAAATGAATTATGGTTCATTTTTCTGATCCTATAATAATTAAATTAACAGCTCGATTAGTCATATCTGCATTCGAAACACTCCAATAGTTTTTCTCTTTTGTCACTTATTGGTGAATGAACGGCTCTATTACATTACAAAACTCTGTATCAGTTTTTCACATTCATCAACTGTTCCTTAGACAAGGACGACTATAATTAATGGTATATTCAATCTACTTTCCACAGTATATATGCCTGCTTATCTCTTATATCTGTGCAAAATATATGCTATCAGTAGTAGAAGCAATCTAAGTAAATCTATCAACCAACGACAAAATGCTTACAAATCGTACTTTTAATAGATACTTCCATGAGTAGTCAACTACAAGGTTTCAAAAAGATTTTTTCGTTTGTAGAACTCGTTGCGCTGATTATTCTGATGAAAAATAACATTCGAATCTATTCAATAAATCATGATGCTAAGGTGAAAATACTCAAAAACATCAACTACTACTCAGCAGCAGTCAGAAGTATTTTTGTTCTAGCACCATGATTTATGAGTAAATTTGAATACTTTTCTTTCGTCCAAATGACCAGACCAACAAGCTCTCCGAACAAGAAAATTATATATTTTGTGATTGACTACATATGAAAGTATCCATCAAAAATTTTGATATTGGTGGTATGATAAACGATAATGCTAAGCAATTATTTAGTTTTGTTTTAGTAATAAAATTTGATTTGAAAGCAAGTTGATAAAACATGATAATAAAAAACAAAGAACACTTTTGCATTCAAACAAATTCATGCCGATCGTTTAGAATTCTGATTCATCGGTAGTTACAAAGAAACCACACGAAATGATACTTTGTATTTGAGATAAAAACCCCAATGATTACATAGAATCTCTGAAGACTAGCAGAAATCTAGAAAGTCATTAAAATCGCCTGAAAATTTCAGCCATAAAAAGTACTCTCTTTTCGAGATATCTAGGTTATAAAAGAAACTAGACTTACCTTCCTGTTGGTACAATGTTATGGTTTTTTTTTGGTGGATTTGCTATCTCACAGAAGAAGTCATCTTTTTTTGGCTAAAATTTTTAGAAGATTCTAATGACTTCAAGAACTGTCTACAAACAACGTTTTTAGGCCAAAGTTCATTTGTCCGTTTTTTTTATAAATACCATACGAAATGTAAAATTCAGTATAACGACCAAAACTCCAAAAGGGCAACATATAGAGAAGAATTCTTCTAGTCTCAACAGGTCCTACGGTAATGACTGAGGTCTTATCTCAAACACGAGATATCATATCGGATAGTTTCTTCGTTAGCAAACATTCAACTAAAGGTTTGATTAGTTTTCTTTATTTGTGTTACTGAAAATACTTGAACGTTATAAACTTACTCGATCAACATGAATTTTTTTTCCATGTAATTCTGTTTGATGTAATGCATGAATACATTTTTCAACATCATCTGGTGTTGCTAAATGAATATATCCAAACCATTGAGATGAACTTGATCCAATAACTTTCGTTGTTAAAACCTATTTGAATAAGACAAGACAATACAAATAAAATTAAAAAAAAATAAATATTTACTTTTCCATATTTTGAAAATAATGCTTTTAAATCAGATGCATGAGTTTCTTTGGCAATATTTGATACCCAAAGATAACAATCATCTAATTGAAAGAAAAGAAGTATTTTTTTTTTGGAAACATAATTTCTTTTACCCTTATTTGATTTATTTGTATTATCTTTTTTCTGTTGTTCATCCGATGATTCTTGTCGATTAGTTTCACTGATAAGTGAAGAAAGAAAATTTTAAAAATAAATGAATGTAAATAATTATTAAACAAAATAATAAATTGCGCAACGAAAAATAATAATAGACAAAAAAAACAAAGAAAGAAACAACGAAGCCAATTCGATAAAAATAAATAAATAAAAAATGAATTCGTTGTTGTTGTTGTTGTTGTTCTCGTTGAAATTGAGAAAAAAACATAAATCTTTTGTCATTTGAAATGATAAACTTTTCGTCGTTGATTATTTGCACAATAAATACAGATAAAACAAACACAACTATACTCACATATAAACTTTACTTTTTCTTTTTTTTTTATCAATTAATTAGAATATAGACGAAATCGATTGATTACCTTTTTGACAGATTATCATTCTCAGTCGAAAGATTTGTTGTTGTTGTGGTGGTTGTCGTATGTTCTTCATTTTCACCATGTAAATGTTCGAATGATGTTTGTTGTTGTGTTGCTGTTGTTGATGGTGGTATTATTGTTTCTGCATTATGATTAAAAAACTTTTTATTTGTTGATTGTTCTATTTGATTATTTGTATCTAATTCTTCATCGGATGATGAACAGGATACTTGTATAAGACCATGATCAATTTTATCATTATTACTTTCATCTTCTTGATCTATTGGTAATTGTTCGATTGTTAAAGCTCTATTATTATTATCACAATCTTCGACGATTTGTTTCAAATCAATTGTATCCATGCAATTTGTTTGATCATTTTGTTCATCGTCTGTGTCTTTTGTTAATGATGTTGTTGTTGAAATTTTCATTGATGATGGTGACGAGCATGATGATGTTGTGTTTGTTTGCACTTTGAAACAATATGGATTTATTTTTTTCAAGTTTTTTTTTTTCACTACTGACTACAAATCAATGTATAACTATTTTGGACAGCAGAATTTATTTTTTTTGTCTTTTTTTCTTTCATCACCTATTTGAGATTATTCTCCCAGGTTTAACTTTTTTTTTTGTCTATATGTGCAATTAAATAAACACGCGGAAATAACTTAATTAGTAAATATATGTATAAAAGACGAAATAAGGAGAAAAAAAAAATAAAAAATAGAAAATATAGGATTATTGTAATTGTAAAATGTTAGCATGACTATTTAATAAAATAAAGATTTTTATTTATTCTCTAATTCTCACCTAGATTTTCAATATTTAATCGTTGTTTCGTATCGACCTAAAGAAAGAAAAACAATCAAAATTAATTATGAATATAAATTAATTTCAATACTATATTAATAGAAGACAAGTCAAGCCGATTCCATCGCGATGTTACCTGGGCTATGCCAATGGGCCTTTACAAACCTCCCATGGTGTACACAACAAAAAACATCTTCGTATATCGCTCAAGGCACGTTTGTAGCGACAGATGCCCACAGTGAATGGTTACCGATGCTTCGGCGGTGCTCAGTAGAAATGAACATTGGAATCAAAGAGAAATGCAGCATGTGATGAAAGATTGAAACAGATAGAAATCACTCCAGAACTAGCTTAAATCCCAATCCGAAAGGATCAGAGGAAAGAAAATGTATGTTAGTTATCACGATTTGATGGTAATAGAAAACAAAAGTGGAAAGTGTTTTCTTTTTTATTTCTCTTGAATTTAATGCAAAGTGGAAGAAATAGAATGTTATTTATATCTAACTTGCACTTCAAGTACAAAGTATTCTATTTATTCTATGATTTTATGTCAATATTCTTGAATATCAACAACCCAATGTGTTGACAAGGAATTCAATAGTACGTAAAAGAAGACAACAATGAAAACGTATTGTAAATGAAAGTTATTGGATCTAGACACTAATTAAAATTAATTTCTATTCAATTGATTTATCGTACATAGATAGAGATGTACAATGTTGATGTAAATAATGAAAATGAGTCATCAGCACAAGATTCACTGATTACAGTGGCATCTTTATTCGCTGCAATATTGAAATACTAACTCTTAAAAATTACTCTTTTGCTAACGGTGTACTCCGATCCTTCAGTGATCATTGGTATCAAATTGTACTAACTACAGCAAGTCAGGAGTCATCAATAAACAGAAACTACACATGCCTATATGAAGAATTTAGAATTTGAAAAAAAGTCGTCAGTTTCGTTTCCAGTACAGAAGATGCCTATGACCAAAACTGTCAAAATTCATACTCGAATAAGTTATGACGTTCATCGGCTTGCTTTAAAAACTATATTGTTTCTCCTAAGATTCTCATGAATATTATTGACAAAGAAAACAAACCTCCGTAGTTGTTGCTTCTAAACTATTTGTTTCATGAGAACTATTTTCTTCATGATTCTAGAAAAAGAAAGAAAAAATACGAAATAAAATTTATAAGAAAATTTTATTTTCTTACTCGATTATTTTCATCCGATGATATTGATTTAAGATCAGTAGATGTATCAAAAAGATGATTATCGGGATCAAGATTTCGATTGAGTAAAGCCTAAAATAATTTATAATAAACATTGTATAATAGAAAAACGAAAGAATAAAAGAAAACAAATACTTGACGTAGTTTTTCAAGAAGTGATCCTTTAAGTTCTTTTTTATCATAAAGAATATTAAATGAACGAAGTTCACGTTGTAAATCGACAACACGTAAATCATTTAATTTACGTTGTTTGACTGAATTTGTTGATGTCATTGACATGTTTCAATTGATTTTTATTGAAGATAAAATAAATATATGCACATCTACAAAGAAGTCCTTTTTTTTTCGCTTCAATTTAGTACACGATGTTCATCTATCAATCATCGATATTATTCACGACAACAATTAAAGGCATTATGTTTTTGTTTATTATCAAGTACATGAGTATATATACATGGTTATTCATCCATTTTGAATACAATGAAACCTCTGATGAGATAGATGACGCCAGTGTGCGATCTATTCTGCACAATTTGACTTATTCATAGAATATATAAGATATATAAGTTTTAATGTTAGATCATCTGCCACTGTGTCTATCTTTGACATTTATTAGTGAGATCATTTTGATTAATGACATCAATAGATAATCTTTTGCTATTGTGCTCTTTCTCTACGAGAAAAATAAAATGAAAGAAATTAGAATTGATATGTTTAATTGTATGGAAATGTTAAAGTTCTATTGAGATGAATTAATTTTTATGATCTGAAACTTTGAATGCTGAGAAATGTTGAGTATGGATGTGAATTGAGATCTTTTGTATATCATCAGTGGCATACTCATCCACATTTTCCTCATCTATCCACCCTCAATGCTCATTCAAAATAATTTAAGACTAATATGTTATGCATTCAATTGCTTTAACACCAAAGAGAATAGATAACTAGATCTCTATCTTTTTCTTGCATTGTCTTCTTCACTTTGCTCTTATTTCACATCATTCATTTAGTCGTGTATATCATCAATAATACTAGCAGAATTTTAGCAGCATAAGAACATATAAAGCCTAGGTAATCAAAAAACAAAACGAAAATAATCGAAAAAAAAAACTATTGGATACAAACCATACGAACGCTACAAAATAGTTGATACTTTACTAATACAAGTAAAACAATGCAATTGAGAATAGAACAGAAAAAGAAACTTAATTTTTTATGAAGAGAAAATGTTCAAATATGACAATTTACAACAAGATAAAATGATTAAAGAAATTTTCAAAACGCTGTTCATGATTAACAATTAGAAATGCATTATTCGATATATTGAATTCTATAAAATCTATCATCATAGAAATTTTTTTTTCCGCGCGTAGTTAATAATTTTATATTTTAGATGATGAGTTTCAAACAGATCAGACTATTATGTAAACAAAATATTGAACTTTTAAAACAATTTAGAGGCATTGTGAAGTAATTAAATTCTTTCATGAAATCATTTGAAACATTTTAATTAACAAGTGTCTTCAGATAATGAATATTGTCGACGAAACAATTTATAATTTACTTAATCATTTACCTAAGTGTTCATCGTCTCAGTCGACTAATTCAAAGTAAAAAAAATTTATATGCAGAATGATCAAAAAAAAAAAATACTTAATTCGTTATGAAATATAATTTCTACACTTATATAATATCTAATTTTTTAAGTTAGTGTAGACAAAGAAGAAATTCATTCCGAAACGAAACTGTATTATGACCTAAAATTTTCAAGCTATATTTCTAGACATTCACAGCTTGCATATACATATAAAGTATTTTGAATTATTGTTAAATTTCTATCAGAGGTATCAACAGGCGTGGTTTTTGCTTGATCTACATGACAGACTAAATGTAAAAGAATAGCCTATAGAACGAACCAGGCTGATTGATATTTCTATGTTTTAAGTCTACTAAGTTCTATAAAGCAGAAATAAGATTATAAAAAGGGATGTTTTATTTTGGATCATTCTGTAAGTTAATTGATTTTAATATGTTTATTTTAGACATTACTATCGATCAATATTTGCTTCAAATGTCTTACAAAATTTTAATAAGAACAAACATTCTCATCGCACAATGGGTTTAGCTGTTATACCTAAACCTGATCCAACTCATCCACTTCGACGACGTCAAAATTATATTGAATTACCTAAAAGTATATTTAATCAATATATTCATTTATTTGATATTTTTATATTTATATAAGTTATTCCATTTATTCGTTCACATCAAATGCCACCAATACCCAAAGTAAATCAACAAGATAATAAAAATCATTTAGAAAAATCATCAAAAAATTTTGTTGAAGAAAATATTAATAAAATTAAAAATTCTTTACCAATATGTCCACGTCGATATGTTGTTTCAGATAGAAAAGGAAATAAATTTCTTATTGATGGTAGTGGTTTACAAAAAGATTTTATTTATAAAAAAGTATTCATATGAATTTATTCTTCAAACTTTTATTTTATCTATATAGAATTATGGCAAAATTCCACATTATCTCGAAACACGTAAAATAATTCATGAACAATTACATTGTAATTCTGAAGATAATTCAATGATTACATTACCGCCGGAAGAACGTCTTTCTCTTATTAATAGTAAATTTTTTAATATTCAATTGAATAATTAACTGTCCTCATTTGTGAAACACAATATAAAACGAGTGTTGAAGCATAGGGATAAAAAGTTTCGCTGAAAATTCTCCTCGAATAGACCATAACAGATATTGATATATTCAGAGACTGTCTATCAACAACGTCTCGTCATATCATATGAACTACTTCCTTATGGCATTTCTATAGAATTAAGCAAAAATTATGGTGAAGAATTGTATCTCAAAATAGATTGAATAAAACAATCTCTTAGTGATTAGCAAGAGCAGCTATATCGTGTTTCACATTTTATTCCTATAGAGATTTTGCTAAGAGCTGTGTTTTTTATTTTTTTTGAAAACTTAGATTTAAAAGATCGTTATGAAGATATATTTGCTGAATATCAACGTTTACCATTACATCTTGAAACAATATCAGCTATTATGAAAAAAACATATTTAACTAATGAATTAGTTAATATTGAACGTGATATTGATTTTCTTGAAAAACATCAACGAATATTTATTGTTAATAATTATACAGATATTAAAAAAGAATAACTTAATAAAAAAAAAATATATATATATATATCTAGACAGTCTATTTTGTTTGTGCAGCTTTGACTTGTATTTACTTATTTTGAATTGCTTCTCAAATAATCTTAATAAATAAAAAAAAAACAAAAATAAATCAATATAATAAATTTTGTTTTTTACTTGTATTAACAGATCATTGTTCATGTGCCGGAAGATACACTCAATAATTTTTTTTCATTATTTCTTTTCACACTAGAATAAGAAGTGAAAAAAACAATGAAGTTTTTTACTTTTCAAAACAAAAATTTCTATAAAAACAATAATTTCCATACGAAACCTAAATAGAACAAATTCCATCAATAATCAGTTGATCAATTGAATAAAAATATTCTTCAATACAATCATTATCACAAATAGATAGATCGTCATTCTAATATTATCAAAAAACAAGAATAATCATATATATAGAGTTATAAAAATAGATTATTCAATTACAACAATACAGACAAATACTCAATATGTAACAAAATATTCTTATTACCAGCAAAAAATGTAGACAATTGGCATTTTGCTAACAGAACAAACAAACAAAAAAACCGTCTTTTGCATTTCAATGTAATTTGATGTTATGAATGATGTTCAGTCTTGATACATATGAACTAGAATCAGTTTTCAACAATCAAACAATACAAAAAAAGAAAAAAATATATATAAAACTAAATCAACTTACGACAAATTTTCGATTTTTCTCTCATTTCACAATTCAATAGACAATTTTTTTTTCATCAAAATCCAAATTTGTATATTTGTTGAAATAATATTCTTCTAGCATTCCAATAATCAACAAGAAATTATTATCAATTAATCTTTTCAAATCTTCCTATACTCAAAAAAACAAATATCAAACTGTATAATATATATATATAGAAAGATCTTTATGCTATGGTATTGTCCATTATATTTTAGTATCTACTGACATCAACAACAAACATGATTTTGTTTGAGAAAGAGAAATAAAGAAAGAGAAAGAGAGACAAATAGAAAACGAAAAAAACAAACAAATAGTAAGAGAACAATAGAGATAGACAATATAGACAAATATATGCATGAAAGTTTTTATCATGATCATCATCTATCTCAAGAAGTCAAAAAGCAACTTCAATCCAAATATAACCATCAATTAGACATATACAATTCAACGAAATCAAATGTTTAGTAGTTTTTCTTCTTTGTTTTCAATTCAACGATATGGTGATCGTCCTCGTGCACGATCGTAAACGCCGGCATTCGGACCGGTAACACCACTAGTACTAAGTACACCTCCAACGGAACGTTGCGTACTAGTATTCGATGTCGTATATGCGCTCAAAGATGAACCAAGACCACCGATGCCACCAATGCCAACACCGGTGCCCAATACACTTCGACCACCGGCAAATGATGATGTCGGCTGTGTACGAACCGATGATACGGTTGATACTCCGACCGGTGCTGTTTGACCCAAACGTGCATCGTCATCTTTGTAGAATGAGCCTGGATGATACGTATATATATGAATTCAAAGCAATTAAGATTCAAAACAAAAACAAGCAACCAAAAAAAACAAAAAAAAAAATAACGAGAAACAAATCTCTTACACTACCTGATAATTGTGATGATAATTGTGATGATAATTGTGATGCTCCAGTTAAACCAGATGATTGTTGGTAATTTGAATATCCACCAGCAAGTGATGAATATATTGAATCTAATGATATTATTTTATATTATTATTATTATTATTACAATTAGAAGAAAATAAATAACGAACTAGAATTTGAATATGGATCAACATTTAATGATGATGAACCTAAACCAGAGTTTGTTGATTGAAGTCCTTAAAATAAATTTTAAAATATAATTTTTATTTTTAAGGATATCATTTAAGTGGTCAGTAGAATAAATAAATGCCTACAGCATCAAAATTGAGTTAGTTTTGACAGTTAATCGGTAATTATTCAGACAGATGCGATTGATGGACAATGTCGTAGCAAGCTTGAACAGTGCGTATTCATTTAGAAAACAAAGTCTTTTTTTTTTAAATTACCTCGATGTCAAGAGTAAACAG